AATAATTGACTAATAATTTCATAGATTGCATATGCTATTAAAAAATATGTTAGAGTTGGATTTGAGATAAAAGAAGGCATTGATATAGAAAATGCAATCAAATATTTGTGTGATACATTAATAGAAGAACTAAATCCTAATTGTGAAAAATCTGATAAAAAAATAAAGTCATTAGTTGGAATATCTAATATGAATGAATGGAAATGGCCAATAGACAGACCATTTGCAGATTTCATACAAGCATGTTCATTGCCAAATATAGGTAATTTTACTAATTATTCTCTTACACAAATACAAAAATTATCAAATACAGAAATAATAAAACCCAATCCTATAATTTCTACACCTTTTAAATCAAATCTTTATGGACTATATTAATACTAAATTCTGGTAGTAGTTTATTTCAAATTTATATTATATTACAATTATTCTGTATATTAAATAGTCACTAAATTATTTTTAAATACCAATTCTATGTATATACGAATACACATACTTAATAAAAATTTGGAACAAGTTAGTAATAAAATTATAGACACAAGAAATAATTTTATGTAAGAAAAACTCACCTTGTTTAATGTTATTTATTTTAAAATATAGTTATATAAGAAAAAATATATTGATTTTATTTGTAACGTTGATGCAGAATTTCAACTCGCATCTGAATGGCATTAAAAGCAAATCAAAAATTTGGAAAAAGAGATAGAACAAAAATATCAAAAAAGATTATTACATTATTACAAGGTTTTTTCATGCTGGTAATGCTGATAAGAGTGATCGATATTCAGCTAATAATATGTTATCAGAACTTATTTATATGATAAATAATGGAGAATTTGATTCTGAAATAATACCAAAAATAGAAATAATTGAAAATTGGATTAGTAGATATTCTGCAGTATGTAAACGTAAAATGGCAGCTATAGCTTTAGAACATCAAGAATAAAATCAGCAATAATACTCACATTAGTAATATAGTAAGCATTTCAAATAAAAAAGTATAATAAAGTATATTGAATAAAAGTAAAAAAATATAAATTTATAAATATATTATACAGAAAAAAGCATACAAACTTATAAAAATGACTTTTGAAATATTTGCAATTACAGATCTGTACATAGAATTTCTACTGGAATCTGCAAATGCCTAAAGTAAAACGTAAAATGAAATATATATAAAATGATTTTTTTGGTATTCGTAACACTCTTTCATTATTAATAATACTTATGATTTTCAGCAGATTTGGACTATTCTAGAAAAAATTCTAATAGAACATTATTTTTAGTATTTAACGATCATTTTATATATAAATAATAAATATTCCTCAGAATTTATATATAAAAATACTACACATGATTGGTGAATTACGAATTAATAAAATTAACAAAGTAAACAAATTAAACTAAGTTATTAAAGTAGTCATCATTGATATATTTAATATATTAGATAGATTAGTTATAATTAGTATAAAATTATACTTATTAATTATATTATAGTTAATAAAGTAGTTATATTTAATTAATTTATTTATTTTATCTTTTATATTATATTTGTTATCATATATTTTAATATTTTATTTTTGTATAAATATCTTATATTTTTTCTTGAGTTGAAAAGTAACTTAAAATAGAATTTTAGGATAGAACTAAAAGTTCAATAAAGGAATCTTTAAATTCATTTACTATTGCCTTTTGTCATATCTTTATATAGGCATAATTGTGATATTATCTTGTATTTAATTCAATAGATTGAATTAAAAGTTAATCATTTAAGTTTACAGATACTAAGCTAATAACACAAAATAGTTTTCAAGCTACATGTTCAAATATCTTCAATTAGATTCACTTTGATATAATGTCTATCTGTATATACATGTGATTGACTAATAAGATATATTGATATATTTTTATATAATCAGATTACAAAATGTGATTACTTTTCCTTTAAATAAATAATAAAAAATATAAAAATTATTTTTCTGAGATATATTTAAACTCTTATTAGTTAATACTATTATTATAGATTATAATCAATAATCAATTTTTTAATCAGTTAAAAATTTTAATCTTAAAACATTACAAACTTTATAATAATTCACTATGTTATCAACATCTATTATGAATGATCATACTATACTATACTATTCTAATTATATAATAAAAGCTCTATATATACTACTGGTATAATATAGTACAGTTCAAATTTTATGAAAAAATACTGATTCACAATATTGTACTGTACTGTTCAAACAAACTATACTGTACTAGTTTCTTATCTACCTGAATTGAATAATTTATAAATGCTAATTTTTAAAAAATCTATTTAAATAAATGCATAATAAAAATTGTATTACATATTATCAAGTATATAATACTAGCGATATTTATAATTAAGAATGCAAAATAATTTCTAATTAATAAATAAATTAATATTATTATAATTTATTTATTTTAAATTTTTTATTTATTTTATTTTATAAT